CCTGAGTGAGACTAGAGCTAAGTTTACTGGGCCTCATTCGCCAGTTTTGTCCTACTTCTCCTTTCTTGGCCTCTGTATAAAAATCTTGCTCCAATTTTGTATTATTATTTTATTCTACCTTGGGGGGGAGGGATTGCATCTGCAAAAACTTGCCAACAGTTGCCATAAAAATATTTTGAACATGGGCTTTTCTTTGGGTAAGTGATTCAAAATATTTGAGTCTTTCAGTGTTCATAAAGAATCAAAGTCATGTTGCTTATATGAGATTTTGAAGTAGCATATTAATTTATGCACACAGGATGATTTGTTGCTGCATTAAAGCCAAAGTAAAACTGATAAAATGAAATACTGAGTAGACTTTATCATAAGATAATGTTTTGAGGCTGAGGAAACCAAATATAATTGTGTAACTGGATCTGCAAAACAGAAGTAAAAACTTTACCCAGTTACATCAAGAATAAGCATATTAATTCTGTCTGAGCTATGATGGGATCTCTTACAAACAAATTAAGACTTAAGAAATCTCTTGAATAACTAAGGTATGTATATATTAATCTTTCCTTGTAGTCAATAAACATGACTATAAAGCGAAGACTTTACATTTAGTCCAGATTCATTTGTCTTCAGTCTCATGTTTTCTGTTTTCGTGTAGCTTAGAGACTGACTGTGGATTTATTTTTTCTTATCCCCTGTGGAGTCACCTACAGATGATGACTGACTCATCTCTTGCTCTACTCCTTGTTTAAACTGTATAGATCGGAAAACTTGACTTGCAGTGGAAAACTGGTAAGGCTTAATTTCAAAATGTTTTCATAGCACTTTTTATTAAAAACAAACAAATCCAGAAGAACATTTACTGTGTGACAGGAACTCTGGATACTGGAACTGCCAGCTCTAAACCTGTCTGTGTGTTATACAGGAGTAATACTATTTCCCTTTGATTTGATGTGTCGGAACTTGTTTCCGCTACTAGCTTTCAGTACCGTACTGTCTCTGACAGTTGTCAAAGGACTTGGGTGACTAGGTAGTCAAGGTTCCCTTCTGGAAGAAGAGAACACAAAAGATATCACATTTTTAATCTGTGCTTGCTGTTGAAGAAGTCCTTAGTAAGTTGAAGTAAGTCCTTAGCAAATTTTCCATGCTGTTAACATTTTTTTGACAGGGTCTTAATCAGAAGATCTGGCTGAAATTGAAGTGTCAGAAAATGGCTTATTAAAACAAACTGGTAAGCTGCTACCAGGTGTTCATTTCATTAAGGTCATTCCTTATTTTCAGAAGATTTCTGAAATACTAACTTATGCTTAGAACTGCTTTAGTACCAGAGGAAAGAAAAATATGGCAAATATGGCTTAAAGAAGGAAAACAAAACAAAACCCACACCTGTGTGTGAGGATTCTG